GTTAAGAGCCTACAAAAACACGTCCTCATGAATTTTGCCCAAAATGTAAAGATCGCATATTTCTATTTCGTCGAGAATCCACCGTGACTGGCGTACCAAGCTGATCAAATCTTTTTACAACCTTAATAGATCTTATTGTTTTAGATTTGGTAGTTTGAGCTCTAGCCACGAAATAGCTTTGATATTGGGTTAAGCTGAAGCACACGCAAGTACCATATTTAATACAGTGGGAATACTGGGCGAAGCAAACATAATATCCGCAATGCGAGCGTCATACGACCACTCACGGTGGAATTTTGATGAAATATGCGATCTTTATATTTTGGGTGAAAATCATGAGAACGTGTTTTCGTAGGCTCGTAACTCGGCGAATTTTATAAACTGGAGCCTGAGTCATGCACCATCAAATAGCACAGTTCCCAGTAACTTTGACTTAGAAAAGCAAGCAGGCATGTTTTCTGACGTACGCACTTCCTTAATTTAGTCACAGTCACCTCAACGTATTTCTCCAAAAAGACCTTGTACTCCTCAAAGATCACGACTTTCGTAAAGAGCGTGTTGAAAAACCTCTACAAGCGAATTTTGCTTACAATTCAAGAGCGTCAACATTATGACCAAAATCCATCGGCGAGCTTCCAAAGCGTAAAACGAAAATGAAATAACCCGAACATATGGGAATTGTTCATAGAGGTTATCCGACTGCTGGTTATTAGAATCAAATCAAATTATGAATACGGAGCTATCTGCTTAGCAAGATAGCTCCGTATGCTAGGGTTATGACGAGTAGAATTTGGGACGACAAGATTTTTCCACAATTCACAAGCACTTCTATCTCCTTGGAAAGGGGCCTACGGCTACTTTTTGAAGATCCATAATCCACGGAAGAAGTACTATCAAATGTCCCTTGCTGTAGTCTACTAGGGGTAATGCGCGCTGCTTTACACCTTTGCGAAAAGAAGCTCGCACAAAAATTCAAGAATACTGAAATTGGAATATCGATAGCGAGCTTTGCATCAAAAGACTCGCCCTGACGAGCTGAACACAATGCTGTTTCCGGTTTTGGAATATATTCATTTCGAAGGAAATAATGGTGCTGCTTAGTTCGCGTGATTTCCGTTATTTCGCGGAGTTCCTGGAATGTCGCAGAGTTCTCAGAATGACGCGGAATTCAGCCGCGACGTTCAAGGAAATTGCACATCCTGCGAGCGGTATCATACCTTGAGTTGATTTTTGGACAAATTTGATCTAAGTGACTCTTTAGGCTCCCGCCAGAGTGCGGAAGCCACGCCAGCTCTGCGCCGGCGCCGAGCCAACGATAGATTGTGGCACTTTTTCACACTAGATGATGCGTCTCGCCGATTGAATCGAACGGTGTTTTTGGATTCAGATTACATCTATTCTCAAGCGAGATATGGCAATGCGACGAGTATTCCGGTGCACTCCAGTGGAGTGCGGCGCCGCTGCTCTCCGGCGCACGCTGCCGCACTCCGGCGCAGTGCAACGCGAACTCCCTAAAGTGCGGCGACTTTTTTGACGAATTATGAGCAGTATTGTACATGATTAGGCTTGTTTAGACAATGTGTGCAACGCGACTTTGCGTCTTCTAGTCATTGAATGAATGACATATGACATCTAGGAAAATACTCCCTGCCACGTAGAAAGGAAAGCGCTGAAGGAATTGGGTTTCGCTGGTAAAAACGAGCTTCCACATGAGGAAATCCAACGCTTAAGCAATTGGGTCTCTCTGGTGAAAATAAGTTTCTATTTGGAGAAAGTTTACGCATTGGGTCACTGGATCTCGCTAGTGGAGATGGGCTTCCACTTGGGAAAGTCATTGGGTCTTGCTGGTGAAAATGAGCTTCTATTTGGGGAAATCCAACACTTTGGGTAATTGGGTCTCGCTGGTGGAAATGAGTTTCCACATGGGGAAGCCAACCCTGAGTAACTTGGTCTCGCTGGTGAAAATGAGCTTTTATTAGGCTGTAACATATGTCTTGAGACACTCTCACTTCTTACGGCGATAATACCATTTACATTTTCAATAGGGGTCCAGGATACCAATCGATAGAGCAAAGCAAGCTTTACAAGATGATGTGCAAAAGTTCATACCAACTTCGACTCTGGAAGATTGCATCCAAAATCTGAGTCGTACTGAAGGCTCAAAAATTCGCGAAAACTCATACCTTTTTTCAAAAAAAAAAATCATACGAATTTCCAACTTGCTCATAAAAATTGCCTACTACATCAGACACTCATGTGTACCGTTCATAGATTTTTTTTTCTTCATTCAAAAATTGAGAAAACGAAAAGCTGCATGTTTATACAAAAATGAAGCTATGCTGTTTTCACTCATGTAATTGTATACCACAAGCCCTTAGGAGTATAACTGTAGACTTTTAGTTTTCCGCAGACCCTAGTTTTGGAAAATTACCGAATTTAGCTCTCCTCACTCGAATGTTCCAGCTAAAATCGATATTTGTCGAAAACTAGGGCTTGTAGAAAGCTCAATGTTGTAGAGTGATATTAGGCTTGTAGTAAATGAACCTCAACTGTGATAGGTTGTCCGGAAAATAATGTCGCATGGCATCCTACCGCGAAAGAACGACAACAAAGAACAGCGAATGAGGTACCATTTGATGGAGCAAAGCAAGCTCTACAAAACAGCTTACAAAACTTCGCGGAAATCTTGCTCCACCTGAAGTTCGAAACCAAAATATAAAATATTTCAAATATCCAAAAAATCTTATCTTCGTTTATAAACGCCTTAGGGATCTCCAAATTGCAGAGGCATGAACTCTCCACACGAGACACTCAACTGTATAGTTTGGGGTATTTATCCATGGCTACAGTACGACCAACAAAAATAAGTCAAAAGTGCGATTACGTCGCGTTTTTCGGGATTTTTGCAAACAATTTGGTTTCTTTTTCGAAAACTACCGCTTGTCTAAAGCTAAAAATTCATGGTACCTAAAGGTTCATACTACAGAATCACCCATGTGAGAGAAGCTCAGGATTGCTTTGGCAGAAATATGCCGAATTCCGTTTTCTCAGTTTTCAGCCATGGAAAAAGTGACTCGCATAGTGAGTCCATGCGTGAGCAAGTAAGAGGTTCCCAGGGCTTTTCTGAACGGAGATACGGAGATTTTTTTCGTTTTTAGGTTTCTAATGCCTTTTGAAATTTGGCTCCAAACTTCGCAAAAATCAGACGTTCAGAAATCGAAAGTTCGGGCTTCATTTTGTAGAGCTTGCTCTGATCTATCGGTTGATACCCCATTTGCTTACTGTCGTGCGCACGCTGCTGTGATATTGCATGACAAAACACGATGCGACATTATTTTCCGGACAACCTAATATATATCTCTTGTGTTGTTTACAACCATCCTTAAAGGACTATATAAGAGCTTCCTTTTGCGGTAACATTTATTCTTCATTCTTCCACATTCCTCCATTCCTGGCTTCTGTCACTGTACCAGTCGCCAATAAAGCACTGCAATTATTCGTGTCCTGGAACAGAAAGATCGAAGACCACAACAACTGGCGATCAGCAAACGGATCGCGTGGAAGAAGACCATCTCCAAACCAGCCCACCGGAATAGAATTGAAGATGACGACTACATCGACAGCATCACTGGAGCAGATGTTACAACAGCTGATGGAACAAAACACTGCTCTTATGAAGACCACAACGCTCGGTTATACTCCTAAGGGCTTGCAGTATACAGGGGTCCCAAAAAAATGTATCCACTGTTTGATTGTTAATAACTCTCTTATTATGAGGTCTTTCGAGAAGCGGTAAGCGCCATTTTGTAGAGCTAGCTTCAACTTAGATTTACACTATAAAGCAAATCCCGACCGCTCTTTATTACTGTAGGATTACGGTAGAAACTTGGAACATATGGTGTCACTGTGGAAAAAGCTGCCGTTTCAAAAATTTTCAAAAAGATGTGAGAAATTGTGCAATAGAGATTTTAGGGACCTGAATTCAAGTGTAAAAGTTTTCAGGCTGTTTTAGTTTCTTTCTGAGGCATTATGGCCTTTCATGGCCCAAAACCCTCTTTGAAGTTTCTACCGTAATCCTACAGTAACGGAGAGAGATGGACAACTCCTTCTATACTGTAAATCTAAGTTGAAGTCAGCTCTACAAAATAGCGCTTACCGCTTCTCGAAAGACCTAAAACTAGAGAGTTATTAACAATCAAACAGTGGATACATTTTTTTGGAACACCCTGTATAATTACCTGAGTGAGAATAGCATAGCTCTGTTTTTTTTATAAACATAAAGCTTTTCGTTTTCTCAATTTTCAAAAAAAAGAAGAAAAATCCACGAACGGTACACATGAGTGTCTGATGTAATGTGCAATTTTTATGAGCAAGTTAAAAACTCTAATAATTTTCTTGAACTAAGGTACGAGTTTCGCGAATTTTCGAGCTTCGATTATATACTTTTAACTTGGTTCTTCAATAGATTTCCCATTTAAAGGTAGTACCAAGAATGCGCATTAGGGAGATCACATTGTTACTGAAGTGTACGCTCTAAACTCGTGGCAAGCATCTAATGTACTATTGAAGAGATCAGCCGTTTACGACGCTTAGTTCCTAGCGTATTTAGGCGATATGCACCGGTTGTACTGGTAAGAAATCCCATATCCAGGACAGTCGCAATGGTAAACAGGACGGCCATCGGAGGCGTGGTACGAAAATGTCGCAGCTGCAAAATTCTACATAAAAATTCGAACAAAAACTAAAAATAGAGCTAAGCGCACTTACTGCAAGGCTGCTCCTGGACATCTTGCACAATCTGTTGCTGCATATCAGGCGAATTTTGCACATCTGGCGCACCAGATTCATCCGGATTCACACATCTAAGGTATTGATACGAGGTACCACTAGGGCAGTCGCACTGGTAAACTGGGTTCCCATTGGAGGCGTAGTACGAGAATGTCGCAGCTGCAGAAAAATTTAAAGAAGAACTGAGGTGCTAAAGAACTAGTTTAGCTTACTACAAGGTTGCGTTTGCAGATTTTGTAACTGCGTATTCTGCATATCTTGTACATTCTGTACATTCTGTAACTGCATATCCTGTTGATTTTGTGGATACTGCATATCAGCACCGCCGCCAAGTTGTGGCGGCGGCTGTGAAAGCATCTGAGCGACCGATAAAATTGATCCTCCCAAATTCGTTGCATCTGCAGCCAATCTTATCCCTCCACCTAAAAACACATTCAAAGAATATGTAATTACTTGCAAATACTGAGCCCACCAACTAAATCCAACACACCAAGTGCAGTATAGAGGCCGCGCATAGATCTTGGTTGGCGTCTGCAAAAAGAAAATCTTTTCCTATCTGAATACATCATCCTAAATGGTTTATGATAAGCTGCATAAGCTAGAAACCAAAATCGAAATGTCAATTTTCCCACCTTTTTGATGCGCAAAAAAGCCTGAGTTCCTTAGTGTCTAAGAATAACACCCCTTATTTCAAGAGTTTCTGAGGCCTGCTATGCACCAATCCCAGTGCAGTTCAAAGGAGGAACGTTACTCCACAAATGGTTCAAATTGCTTTTGAAGTCATGCACTGTAAATGTATCAGTATCAGTGCTAAAATATCTGCATTTTTATCGGAGCTAATCGTGAGGTTGGAAGCTACAGAGCAGGAAAAGTTTATAACGTTAGTATATACAGTCGTTTTTGAGGGATGATACATGCACGGCCGAAACAAATGTTAGGCTGTTGCAAGACTTTCTCGGTCAAACGCACAATTTAACTTGCACATACTGGATGCTCACTTTAAGAAAGGGCTTTGTGGACTTCAAAAGTCAAATTTTAAGCTCAAAATTGCGCTCAACCTTAAAAGAGGTTTCGCTAAAGTATTGTGCCACAAAATCTTGCTACAGGTAAATTGGGGCCTCTGAACGACAAAAAAATACGTTTTGGTAATGGCTCCAAAGGCATATTGAGGCAATTTAGAGGAGTAACGCAATTACATAAATTGCACAGGACTCATTAAGAACTCTTGAACTTTGCTACCGTAATAACACTACAAAAAAGTTGAGCGATAGTTTTCAGCTTTGAGCAAGAGAAGAAGATTTGTTTGAGACGGTCTTACAATTACGAACGCTAAACTTTTATGTTTAGCGATTTGACTACTAAGAATAAGTTGGCACCGTTTTCAGTTCTTGTGTTGAGTACAATTTACGATTATGCCCTTTCACATAGCACCAGCGGTTTGAGTTCCTTCCAAAAGTCCAGAAATTTTCACAATCAAGGGTGTTCGCAATTATGACCACCTTTATTCATTAATATACAACTGTCATCAAATTGTCGTACATTTGGGACTACACTCCTGCTCTAAAATCAGCAAGTTTCACAAGTCTGAATAAGACGGAGGGCAGAAAGGTAAAAAGAGAGCCAGAAAGGTTAGACGCAGTGCATACACACTGCACTTTTTACACTTTCACTTGGCGAAGTAATGGTCAAAGACCAGCCATAGAGCAGCTTTTTATGTCCACTCTCCAAAATTCGTAGTCACAATCAGTCACTGTCTTTTTAGCCCAGTGTGCGTTACATAGGATAGCGTCATAAAAGAACTCGTTGTCATAACTGTGTTGCCAATGCTTTAGAAAAAACATCAGCCAAAGAGTACGGAGCCTATTTCTTTTTCTTTCTATACGAATCTTACAAATGGAAATGCGCCTACTTCAAAAAAATTATTACTTAAGCCTAGTCCCTAATATTAGCAAATGCACACACAAAAGTACTTCAAAAGGAAGTTCAGACTATAGAGTAGGAAAGGCAGAAAATTTTTTAATTTTGTTATGAATACGAATCCTTGTAATGCATTGTATATGTACGAGATAGGTAGAAGCATGCTGAAGCAAATGGGGTGGCAAATTCGATTCCAACATCAAGCACATCACTCTACGCGCTATGCGATGAGGCTTTCACTTGCAAGATGTAGAAGATGTTTGGAATGATACTGTTATTCTTTTAGATTAGATATAGGTCAGAGTTTGCCAGTTTTGCCGGTGTTGAAAGCATTAAGTGTGGAAATCAACAGTCTTACGTTTCATTCCTTCTCGAGGGATTTTACCGGTTGGTGAGTACTTACATTTAGGAAAGAGAAATGAAATATTTATATATATACTAGCTGGCTTACCCGGCTCCGCCGTATCCGGACCAAACTTGGCACACATACACTTCGGGCCCCGGCGGGTGTCACAGTCCACTTTTCGTTATCGATCGATGTCGATTTTACCGATTTTTATCGTTTTCTTTGCAGAGTTCACCTACAGGGCTAGGAGTTGGCACAGGGGGGGGGGAAGTGAGCATGGGGATTCCGAATACAATATTAGTTTTCAGGATCGTCCATTACTTTTATCCATTTTATCGATTTTTTTGTAAAGTTTGACCTGCGGGGCTGGGAGTTTGCACAGGGGGGTAATCGAGCATGCTGATTACGAACACAATATTAGTTTTCAGGATCGTCCATTACTTTTATCCATTTTATCGATTTTTTTGTAAAGTTTGACCTGCGGGGCTGGGAGTTTGCACAGGGGGTAATCGAGCATGCAGATTACGAATACAATATTAGTTTTCGAGATCGTCCATTACTTTTGTCGATTTTATCGATTTTTTGAAAATTTGAGCTAGGGGGCTGGAATTTGGCACAGGGGTGTAATCGAGCATGCTGATCACCCCCCTTGGGGATGATCAGCATGCTCGATTACCCCCCTGTGCCAACTCCCAGCCCCCTAGCTCAAACTTTGCGAAAAAATCGATAAAATCGATAAAAGTAATCGATAATCCCGAAAACCAATATTGTATTCGGAATCCCCATGCTCGATTACCCCCCTGTGCGAACTCCCAGCCCCGTAGCTCAAACTTTGCAAAAAAATCGATAAAATCGATAAAAGTAATCGATAATCCTGAAAACCAATATTGTATTCGGAATCCCCATGCTCGATTACCCCCCTGTGCCAACTCCCAGCCCCGTAGCTCAAACTTTGCAAAAAAATCGATAAAATCGATAAAAGTAATCGATAATCCTGAAAACCAATATTGTATTCGGAATCCCCATGCTCGATTACCCCCCTGTGCCAACTCCCAGCCCCGTAGGTGAACTCAGCAAAAAAATCGATAAAAATCGATAAAATCGATATCGATCGATGACGAAAAGTAGCCTATGACACTCGTCGGGGCCCGTAGTGTATGTGTGCCAAGTTTGGTCCGGATCGGTTCAGAAATGGAATTTTCTATTCGGAACATACGTACACACAGACAGACAGACATACATACAAACAGACATTCAGCTTTATATATAAGATAGAACTCAAAAATGTCCGTTTGGAGGGGAGGGTATGTGCGTTATAGAAAGCGCGTCGCTCAACCGACTGGGCTGGAAATTTGCACACAGATGTTTTTGACCCCGGAAATGGTTTAGGCTATTTTCACCGAAATTCGCTTCGTCCTTCTATCGTTTTTTATCTGTTTACTCAATCTATGGAAATAGAAGCTCATCTTATTCAACCAAGCACTCTCCGATGTTCGTGTAAACACGGGTGGTGAAGCTCATTCACATTCCGCGGTGAGGAAAATGCGGTGCAAAACTATGCAGCCAGGAAGGACAAGTCAACGCAGGAGCCAGAGGAACGGTAGGCGCAAGTCTGGAGCAGTTGCAAGAAAGAAGAAAGAAGAACTTGGTGGAGAAGAGTGGAAGACTGGGAAATTAAGGAAGGTAAACTGGACGCTTTGGAAACGATTTTGCACCCTTCGCGGCACCAGCAGACCCATAATCTGGGCGGGCCGGGTACGTCAGATAATTAAAAATAAAACTGGAAATGTTCTCATGCAAAAGTCCTCATACAAACTTTTCGGAAAGTAGAACTCTTCTTTTGAATAGCCAATGTCTCAAATTTGAGAACGCTGCTTTCTGGGCCGGTAGTAATCCCCCCGACCTGGCGGCAGGTCTCGTCGGCAAGTCGCTGGCACCTTTTCCGTGAGGTGGCCAGAAAGTGAGACTCCAAATTTAGGCCGTCCCAGGCCTTATTCCAAAAAATTTTCTCGATGAAGATGCCGCCTCGACTCTGTAGAAAACTCCATAAAAGTCTGCGGTTCCAGAACTCCTCCTTTGGTAAAATATCTGGAAGCGCAGGAGGAGCTGCCGGCAACTTTGCGATGTCAGTTGCCGGCAACCTGCCGGCAGCTCGTCGAAATCCGCGAGATGGCAGCTGCCGGCAGGTCAGAGAGCACGGGAAATAGCGTGCTCTCTTGAGAGAGGGAGCTGCCGGCATCTCGACGTGCCCCTACCACGTCGAGGTGGTGGCACCTTTGCCGACGGCGTCTGTGAGATTGCGAATTGCGGCGATATTACACAATTTACGTCAGGCGAAAATATCAAAAAATTCTACTTTCCATCCAAAAACCTTCATTTTTCTCAATATATGAGTTTTTCTTGTTTGAAACTACGATTTTCTTACAGAGAAACAATCTAGTCATGCTTTAGAACCATAAAGAACACTATCTTTTTTGGCAATCTCTTCTAAATCTCGTTTGCACCGATTTCGCCCTTCTCTCACTCATATCAATCAGCTGTTCTTTCAGGTCAAAGTCTCTCGCGCAATGTATCGATCCTTCTTACAGGCGGCCATTTACCAGTGCGTTGCTCATATTGTTGATGCAAACGACAAGGACTGACCGAATGTTCGAGTGGGTAACGTGGCAGCACTTGAAGTTAGCACACTTAGGTTCGACCGCGCGCGAGACAGCAGTTTTGCGGCTGTCCACGTGATCAAAATTTGATGAGCGAAATAACCGCGTACTGAGATTATACAAGATTATTAAAACCTACAATCACTCCGCGAGCTGCCGGCGGAGTTGGCATCTTTCCGCGATGTGTGCCAACTTGCCGGCATCTATGATGCCACCAGGTAGGGTAGATTACTACCGGCCCTGATGAGTGACGCGTGTTAGGTTAGAATCAGGCTCTTCTGCGTTTGGTGAGTAAAAGATCTACACATAAAGGTGTCTTAGAGTTATTAAATACTGTAGACTGCCTATCTCAAACAAGTCCTTTACTTTTCAAAAAGTTTGTATGAGGATTTTTTGCATGCGAAAGCATTTTCCATCTCATTTCAGTTGCATTTCTCATTTCCCATTTCCATTTCAAACACCAGCGGTGGGATCGCTCGGGGAGGAATGAAACTGCGAGTTTGATAATTTCCGCATTTAAAGCGTTCAACACCGGCAACACTTTCAACACTTTCAACAACGGTAACACTTTCAACAGGTAAAACTTTCAACACTGGCAACAAAGGCAAACTATGACCGTTACTTTAGGCAGTAACTGTGATAAAAAGATGAAGCACAACATAGCGCTGATAGCAGCTTTTTCCGCATGTAGTTCCCTCGAAGCTTCCTTACATTCGTTGCATTTGCTCTCAGATCTCCTACAAAGTTGTGAAAAACAGACTGTGGACGCCAGTGAAGCTGCACCTAGCACAGCTGTCTCCCGAACCAGTCAGTTCGAAAACAAAATCTCCGGCTGTGGTTTTGTTACCTTTCACCGCTTAGTATATATGGTAGTCCATCAATAGTTAATAGCACAGGCCAATTACGAAAGCTATTATATCGATATTGGGCGAACATTCACATGACGTAACAATTCCTCACCTGCCGCGAGGGTCTCCTTCGGAGTTAATTCCACTTTCAGACTGATGGGAATTTAATGCCTCTGGAAAAATTTTTAGGAGATTATATGGCAACGTGAAACATGTTAGAAACACCCACGTAAAAAGAGTGTTAACAGAACAGGCCTCCATACTAGAATCATCACAGAATGAATATGGTCAGGTGTGCACTAACACCTCTTATACGGCCTCTGAAGAGGGCATAGTCATCGCGGTGGATTCCATGACGCATTCACAAAACACACTCCAGCATAGTTCGGTTAAGAGTTTGCTCATCAGTATGGAGGATACCAAGAAATAAGGGCAATAATGACGTGCAGTCTTTCTGTAATCAATTCCATGATCTAATGAGAAGTCATATCATGTTTGGAGCTTCTATAACAGAACTGAAACTTTATTTCTACAGCAATGTACTATGTACCGTCGAACTCCCGGCGATCTTGACTAATTCTGCTCATCTCACAATTTAGATCTTGCAAATAATGTCAAGATTTATAGGGTCTACAACGAAGATAATCGGGATGGATTCAAGTCTGCGGAGAGGAGTTCGCTAGAACTGACTGCATACTGGGCTTCTTGCTTTGTTGTCCTACTTAATTCAGAAAAATGCCTTGTCATGCGCTTTGTTGACGATGAGAACCTGATTATAAAATCAGTGGAATATCCCCAAAGACGGGCTCCATGCCAGGGATTTGGGTGTTATAATTGGTCCGGAACTAAAGTTTTCGAGCCATATCGATTATGCAGTAAACAAGGCCAATTCAGTGCAGCTTTATGTCTACCACTGAGGTATATTCACACGACCAGTTCAGCGATTCTAAAACGACTCTACAAAGCTTATGTTTAACTAAAGGCACATTACTAAAATGCTGTTGTTTGAAGATCGTTTCAAGTCTTTGGCAACAAAGGGTATGGAATTCAGAAGAAGTTATCCTGATTTCATCCTTCTTTGACTCAAAAGGAAAAAGCTTAGGTTAGCGCAAGCAAATACTGAACTTTCAGGCCACTTTAGGATGGGTGGGTTCAGCATTCACTATCCTCAGTTTCGAGAAGATCGTCTTCTCCTGACTTCAACGGCTTTTTTATAGAGTGTGTAAATGGTAAAAAAAAGTTGCCTCCTTCAGTTTTGCCAGCTCAAAGCGTGTCGCTTTCAAACGCAAGATTAATGAAGTCGATTTGTGCAGATCAAAAATCAAGAAGTGCTTTTTTTTTGTTTTGTTTTCCACAGTGTCAGGTCTTTTTCTGTCGTCTACACTAGCCGTTTAGGTTTATGCTAATGATTATTATGCTCGCTAATTTTTTCCTAGAATGCTTTTTCTCGTAAAGGTTCCTGTTACTAACATATGCTAGCTTCCCCACACGCTGGTTGTGATTGTTTTTTTCTTCAGCTGTTATTTCGAAAAATAGCTGTGTTAGGCTTGAACTTTGCATTGTGCAATCTATTTCCGTGAAGTTCTGCTTTCCCGGGAAAAATTGGATGGCGGTTTTGCCAATACGCCTAGTACATCTGCTTCCTCCAATGTGTGTTTGATAATCAAAGAGCACTTTTGCTGCAAGCAGGAGCGTGAAACAGACTGCACTGAGCCTTTACTCCAATGATACGCTTTCATAAATAATCTGAACAAGCTTAGTTCCTTTCTATGAAAAGAGCTAGACTTGAGGTGACTTATTGAGTGCCTCTTTGTTTTCTCTTCTTTGTTATTAAATATGTTTTGAAGTTGAGGTTTAGTTGTGGTACGTCTTATGCGTATTGAATAAAATCAAATGACTAAAAATCATCTTCGACATGCTTGTTGACTGCACAAAAATTGAAACGCAGCAACCCTTGCTTCCTACGAAGCATTTACAGCCACCTTAATTGAAGCTGCCAGAAGTACCTTAAATGGTTTTCCCAGTGTCATAAAGATGTCGTGTAAGCGATCTCCCCCTGCGTAAATGACTACAGACTATAATAAAATACTAACGGTTGTTCGATCCTCCATCTCCCAAATGTAAATGTTTGCAACATATCACACACCGATAACCTAGAAATAAGGCCTCAAAAGTGAAGGATTATTTGAAATCCTGTCCCCCAAGAAAAGTGTAAGTTACCGAAAATTGAAGCGAGATAAAATAAATAGCGAAGCAAAAGCAAAACAAAGTGCTGAAAATCAGCAGAAACGCTACAATAGCTATGAAAATCTGCATTTGGCAATTTCGAATTGCAGATTCTCAATCGAAAACTACGGTTCACAACTCGGAGTGATTGAAATAAAGCTGGTTTCTTCCTTGCCGTTCTATCAACGGCAGTAACATTTTCGAAGTGGTGATTGCTTAGAAGTAAACAGGAAAAGAATGGCTATGAAAACGAGAAGTTCTGTTTTTTTTTTCACACTCAGAATCCATCATAACCAGTCGGTTTTTGATGTGTTATTTGTTTCTTACCCCTTCTTGCCTCTTCTGCTTCCGGCAACTTTGTCAACGTTGCTCTGTTCATCGTTTTGAGCAAGGAAACCTAAGCGAAAAATGGGTGCGTACTCACTTTACTCAAGAGCAGGAACTATGAAGAAAACGCACTTTTTACGAATTTCAAGAAATCATGCACAATCCAAAGTAAGCTTAGCAACGTTTTATACGTTATAGACAGAAACGGGATCTATCGAACGCACGAAACAGTGTAAAAAAGAACTAAATTAAGAGAAAAACAAGAATTTTTAATTACAAAGTTTCCTTTGCCAGATTTCTCTTCCAACAATAAAAGGGGTAGAGGACTATATGTCGCCGAAAAAGGACGGTCCCCGCGGTCATTTGCGACAAATATGCACATTTGTATATGCGCGGACATGCGTTACTGCAGGAAATCCGCGCGGGACTCTTCCACATTCGGCGACATATAGTCCTCCACCCAATAAAAGGGGTTTGACGACATTTTCATCGTTAAAGTAGAAATCAAGACCTACAAAATGGCATACACTTTGCTAGAATTGGTTCCAAAACAAAGGGGAAAAGAAGGTATCAGAACCGAATCCCTCGCGCCTGACGTTTGAAGTAGCGAGGTGGCAAGCAACACGTGGAGGTGCAGACGAGCAGAGGAAAGGGAAGAGCCAACGGAGTATTTGGCTCTGGTAGGATATACGGAATCTTAAAAAAAAACCCTGCAACACTCTAACACTCTGTACCTCTTGACAAACCCAAAAGGGACCAAGATTGCCGGCGTTAAATTGCTCCCTAACGAAATAAACCATCAATTTTCCTGCGCGGTCCGCTGCGCAAGATTTAAGCGCAGTTTCTCGATTCTATTAGGTTGGCTTAAAACAAGCTCGGCTGTTTTTAAGGATGCAGATATGTTATAAATTGATTGATGCATGAACGCTTGGTATCGTTAGAAAGAAAAAATTGAGAAGCTCTGACTTTAACACTGTTTGTTGAAAACCATTTTTTGATGACGAAGTGGTGCAGGGCAAAGGAACAGCCGGATTTTCTCATCATATTTTCGTACTTCAAAAAGCGAGCTGAAATTGAGCGTGCGTATGGCATATGCCACCCACGCAACAAATTCTCGGTTTTCCAACCATTGCGTGAGCATAGACGGTCAAATTTAAGCGATCTGGATTGCTTAAAAACTGACTTTCATGTCGTTTTTATCTGGAAATTTCCACATTTTTGACTGTAAAAATTCATAAACAGCAGGTCACAGTCGCCATTTGGTTCGTTAAAGATTGCGTATTTAGTCACTCACTCGTCTGCGCATTCACAACAAGATGAGGACGAAACTTAGAAATTCGAAAAAGCAATTTTGTTAGAAGGTTAGCCATATAAGAGCATAACTGCCATCTATGGTTGACGAAAAACTTTGGATCTTTGAAATGTGGGAGTAGAGACTTGAAGTTATCTTCTCGTAAAAAAGCTTAGCAGAACAACTTCTACTCAAAATGTTATGAAACATCAAGATTGCATGTCAAAACGATCTAAGTTAATGGCCATCCTAAGGCTACTGAAGTCCATTCGCAGTCTAAAAAGGGGTCGACCAAACAATTGTCCTTATTTCTTAGAAATTTACGCAAGAATCTTCTTAGCACAAAAAAGCTATGAAAGGCAACTTTTCGGTTTTTGAGATAATAGGTTGGCTAAAAAATAAAACCGTTTTGACATGCAAATCCTCATAGGGATTTTTCTTATTCTTTTTCAACCATGATATTTTGTAGAAAAGTAGCTCAAAGCTTCTACTACCACATATCAAATACAGGATATTCTATCATCAGAAAAGACCGTTATGACTCAACATGGCTAAATTTCCAACAGCTCAAATCTTTAAATTCCTAATCATCGTTTTCATACAATGGATACAAAGAACAGCAAATTAGTAATTGGATAACGAGAAGTTTTCCTTATTTAGTGAAAAACATTAGAAATTGTGGTCGCCATTTTGAAAATTTTTTATCAAAAAAACCAATTTTCCTGATATTTGCGTACCATGAGAAAAATGTAATTTTTCACCTTTCTGCCTTTTTTTCCTCGGAAAATCAGAAAAATCTTCTCAAACAGATTTCATATTCCAATTCTCATTGAAGTGCTCTTTCCAGAGATACCAAGCACTGGATGAAAATATGTCTACAGCGTTTGCAAGAGCCGCAAGAGTTTTTTATTAATATTATCTATATCTGCTTCGTTCATCTTCACTCCAGTTTACTGATGAGCTTGACTTATGGGTCTCGACCGGATAACTCCTGTTTTTATAGGTAGAAGTTGTGTTTTTATGTTGCTCAAAGTGAAGAATACCAGAGTACATGGCTCTAGCGTCGAGGATTTGCCACTAATTTGACTTCATGTATTCCTCAAAAAACTCAGAGTGAGAGAAGAATTTTTTTAGGAGAAAAAAAAATTTAAAAAAATTCTTCTCTCACTCTGAGTTTTTTGAGGAGACAGACTGCATGCCAAAAAAACTATTTTTTCGAGCCCGTTCTTTTTTTCAAACATCTTAGTCGTGTATAGTTCACTAATTTTTCAAATGTTTTTTCGAATACAGAAGACTGTCACCAATACCAAAGGATAAAATATTTTGAATGGAAAGGATCACCGATCTACAATATTTGATGGCGGGAAAAAAGAGGCCAATTTGACCTCTTAGCAGGGCATAAAAGGAAAAAAGAGAGGGGAGCTGC